GTCTGGCATGCAGCAAGTGCCTAGTGAACTGGCAGAAGGTGATTACATTGGGGGCTTCTCAGCAGTTGCAGCCAGAGCAATGATGTTCTGGGCCAGCACCAAGACACTGGAGCTGGCAGATCCCTGTGCCTGGCCCCTGAGAGCATCCCAGTGAGCAAAACCAAGTGCACAGTGACACTCTCTCCAGCCAGTATCCTCCCTGCAAGGCAGACTTGTCTGCAGGGGAGGGTGGAAAGCATTTTCTCGCTACCTCTGGCTGTTTTTATAGTTCTGTTTTGTGAATCGCGGCTGTAAGGATTTTTTTTGTCTTTATTTTTTCTTCCCAGGCTTCATCTGCTCAGCCCCAGCAAAAAACATTTAAAAATAGAGAGAGAGATGCCAATATCTACAGATTTCATAGCATCCTTGATTCCTGTTGTGCCAACAGGAAAATTAGGTAGGTAGATAACATTGGAGGAGTTTTTCTCTGTGGATTAACATTAGTACTTTTTTTCTTTAGGTCAAAATGTAAAACTTGCAGCAAGCGCACACACACATGCATGCACATCTCTTCATTTTTGCTGTATCTGGGAACCTACACAAGTTTCGTGCTTTCTCTTATTATTAGAGATGTGAACATTACCCAGCAGCCTCTAGGATGTTCCATGAGGCAAAGCCAAATTATCTGAGTCGTGATCGCTATTCCTTCCCTCAGCAGGAAATCCAAATGTGATTGGTAGACTTTTAAGAGTACAGTTCTAAAGACGCAGGCATCTAAGTCTTTTTAGAGAAATGTTATATTTTTAATCAAGTAAACGTTTTAATTACTAACATGCCTCCTACTTCTTACCCTCCCACAAAATCTGCTTGTGAATCCTCACGGGTCTCCTGTGAAACATGGGACAGCAGGCTGCTCCTTTGAAGTCCTGGTTATAAGGACTAAAGAACTCCTGGTAGATGTTCCTATGGGTGAATATGTTATTTTTTTTTTCTTAACCACAATAGTTTCTGCATTGTTTCTGTTATATATATATTTTGGAGCCACAATAGTTTCTGCATTGTTTCCAGGTTTGACAAAACCAGATTTCAGGGTAGGTCTGCTTTGCCTTCTATTTGGAAATCTGTAGGAAGAGGGATTCAGCAGGAACGAAGCTAATTATCCCCTCCTCCCTCCCTTCGTCCCTCCCTTCTCTCCCTATTCTTCTACTTAGCCTAAAGTTCTGGTGGTCACTAAGAGCTCTCATGGGTTTTACTGGCAAATGCAGCCGAACTCCTGAAATCACATATGCCCATATCATGGGAAAAGTACTGGACTAGGAGAAACACGAGACTTCAGCTCTTGCCCTTGTTTTGCAATCAACTAACTACGAAACCTTAAACATGCCATGTGACTTTCCGGACCTCAGTTTCTCCTTCTGGGAAATGAGTGGCCAGGGGGTGCTGGTGGTTATATTAAATACAGAATTCCTCCAAGGATTAGGCTAATGGGAAAAATGAATGAAATGGGCTGGGCAGGGCTTGTCCCTTCTAATGGGGTAGCCTTTCCTCCAGCCAAGTCTGTTTCCAACGCTACGTGAAAATGTGGGCCCAGGGATACGAGATCATCCCCTTTTTTCCAACAGAAGCTTGAAACCCAGAAGATGAGGCTCTTAAGTGAAATATCTTGATTTTTCAGATGCTGGAATTGACTACTGGGTGAGCCAAACATGTCAATGGGCTGAACTGGCTTCAAGGCTGGAAGGTTACTGCCTCTGGACAAAACTTTCTCTCTGACCATGACCTAACACAGCTTCCTAGCACAAGTGTTCAAATATGCCACAAAAAAATCATATTCAAATCTGAATAGCCAAAGAAATCCTGAGAAAGAAGAAGAAAGCTGGAGGCATCACACTTCCTGATTTCAAACCATATTATAAAGCTATAGTAATCAAAACGGTATGGTGTTAGCATAAGAACAGACACATAGATCAATGGAACAGAACAGAAAGACCAGAAATAAACCCATACATACATGGTCACTTAATTTTTGACACAGGAGCCAAGAATACAGAATGGGGAAAGGACAGTCTCTTCAATAAATGGTTTTGGGAAAACTGGACAGCCCCATGTAGCCTGGACCCCTATCCTATACCATACACAAAAATTAACCCAAAATGCATTCAAGACTTGAATGTAAGACCTGAAACCATAATACTACTAGAAGAAAACATAGTGGGTAAGCTCCTTGAGACCGGTCATGGCAATGATTTTTTTGGATTTGACAACAAAAGGCAACAAAAGTAAAAAAAATAAACAGGTGGGACTACATCAAACTAAAGTGCTTCTACACAGCACAGAGAACCATCAACAAAGGCAATGAAAAGGCAACCTATGGAATGGGAGAAAATATTTGCAAACCATATATCCGACAAAAGGGTTAATATCCGAAATACACAAGGAACTCACAGAAATCAATAGCAAAAAAGTAAATAACCCAATTAAAAAATGGGCAATGGACCCGAAAAGATGTTTTTCTAAAGAAGACATACAAATGGCCAACAGGTACACGAAAAGGTGCTGAACATCAGTAATCATCAGGGAAATGCAAACCAAACCACAATTAGATATCACCTCACACCTATTGGGATGGCTATTATCAGTAAGACAAGAGATAAACACTGGTGAGGATGTGGAGGAAAAGGAATCCTATACACTGCTGGTGGGAATGTAAACTGGTACAGCCACTATGAAAAACAGTATGGAGATTCATCAAGAAATTAAAAACAGCACTACCATCTGATCCAGCAGTCTGACTTCTGGGTATACAGCCAAAGGAAATGAAATCATTATCTCGAGGAGATATCTGTACTCCCATGCTCATTGTATCATTATCAATAATAGGCAAAGTATGGAAACAACCTGAGTCCATCAATGCATGAATGGATCAAGAAAATGTGTATCAATAAAATATATACACAAAGGAATGTTATTCAGCCTTCAAAGAGAAAGAAATCCTGTCACTTGCGACAACATGGAAGAACCTGGAGGGCATTATGCTAAATGAAATAAGCCAGACAGAGAAAGACAAATAGTGTATGGTGTCCCTTATATGTGGAATCTTAAAAAAAAAAAAGAAAAGAAAAGAAAAGAAAAAGGCAAAATGCATAGAAACAGAGAATAGAAAAGTGGTTTCCAGGGTCTAGGGGGTCGGGGAAAAAGGGAGAAGTTGGTAGAAGGGTACAAACTTTCAGTTATAAGATGAATAAGGTCTGAGGATCTAATGTAAAATATGGTGACTACAGCTGATAACACTGTATTGCATAACTGAAATCTGCTAAGAGAGTAGAACTTAAATGTTCTCCTAAAAAAAAACTAAGGTAAATATATGAGGTGATGGATGGATGTGCGGCGAATCCTTTCACAAGGTATACATATATCCAATCATCATGTTGTACATTTTAAATATCTTGCAGTTTTGTCAATTATACCTCAATAAAGCTGAAAAAAATTTACTTTCTTTACTCCTAGATGAAATCACCACTATGTTCAAAAACCCAAAGAAGTAACTAGATTCAGCTAAGGAATGTGTTAATTTGCTTATTTCACTCTAGAACTCTGAAGGGGTTCCCTCACTTGAGTGATATGCACAGGAAATCGAGTCATCTCATGCATCATGATACATATGTATGGCTTCATATAACTTTTATCTGTTGGTTAATTAGACCTCTTTCCAACAATTGCCCCGGCAAGAATGTAGACAGTAAAGGTAGCCATATTACCCTGATCATGGGAGTTCAATAACACAGTGAGATGAAAAATATTCTCAATATTTAAATTTTAACTGGAGGTATATATTTCAGGCCTTTTTTTTCCTCAAGATTTATTTTTAATTTAATATATTGGGAACTAAAGTGCCAGCTTTTTTGGTTTTTCTAAAGTATGGCTTAAGTCACTCCCAGCCTGTCCCTAAAAGACTTCTCAATGTCTTGGATTGGGTTTATGAGAAAAAATAAGCAAAGGAAAAATGTTGACTATCTACAATCAATATAACAGATGAATGGAGGCAGGCTTGCCTAGAGAGAGCATTTGGTACAAACATACACGATCACGCTGCTAAAAGTCATGTCCCTTTGAAATGGTTTAAGACCTCTAGGTGATCCACAGCCCATCACCAAATGCCCCACTTTCACTCTGCTGTGCAGGTGAGGCAGCAAAAGCATCACAGTTACCGTGGGAAGATAAACCACTTGCACACTCTCTAAGGTACTTGGCAAAGTCTGTGCTTTTAGCTTCAGCAACTTCTCCAACAGTGGTTCCTAACCTATGGGATATCACGGACCAGTCAAATTTCAAAGAACATTTGCAGCATCTAACATTAATTTTTCTTTCTTTTTTTTTTTTTTACCAAGAAGAGAATTACACAAAAGAAAACAAAATAGAAAGCACACCAAAAAAGGTCCAGCAACAAGCTTCTATCTGTCATCCCAAAATTTCCTATAGAAAATTACATTTCAACATAGAAATAGCAGAAAGAACATACTTTCAAAATGAAGGGCCGTCCCTTGAGTTGAACAAAATTAATTTTATTAAAAACTTACCACATTATCCTGATTTTTTTTTCCCCTTTATTGGCAGATCCAGGTAAACTTTGCCAGAACACAGGTACCATGGTATTACTCCCTCTAACGGTCTACAATCGTCTACTCCTTAACAGAGAACTTAGTACCATACGAGCACATAATATTTATCATTAGTACTATATCAGAATATTTTTCAAATAAATAATTTATTTTCGTTTTTTTTGCCTTTTAACCAGAAACCCTGTGGGAGATCCCAAAAGACTGACTTTAATGAATAAATGTGCTTTGCCCTAAATTCTCTGCTGTGGGGACTTGTGGATGGAAATTAGGTAGAATTTCAATATGGATTCTCACTTAAAAGGCAAACCAGTGCTCTCGAATCTGACTGTATGAGAAGGTAGTGCCAGTGCCACCTTTGAGAAGGTTCCCGTACACTCGAGGGAAGAGGGCAGTGAACGTTACCTTTGGAATGCACACTGTGGGCTCGGACAAGCGAGGGTAGGTGTAGGAACTGTACGAGTGTCCTTGGGGGTGGGTTTTAAATGCACTTGCTCCGAAGGGCATCATCGGTTCCTGGAGCCCCGAGCCTGACCTGGACCTCTGCCGCATGGCGGGCTGAGGGCTCGTCTGATTCAGGTACGACGACTTTGGCCTCCTGTCATAGTCATCCAGGCTGGGTCCCCATTCACTTTCACTGTACGCCAGACTCTCCTTGGAGCACCCGCCAGTCCCTGCAGTTCTAGAAGGTGTGAATTGGAATGGATAATCTAGAGGCGGGCTGCTAGAGGCTCTCTGGTACTCCCACTTGAGGTCACTGTATTCACTTGGTTTGCTCAGTGAGTCCAAATGTGCGTGATAATCGACAGGAAATCTGGCAATGTCGGATTTCAAAGGCTTTATCTCAGAATAGTAGGCCTCCCCGTGTTTCATTTTCATTACGTGCCCATTTTGCTTGGTTGCAGGGCTGCCTTTATAAAACGGATCCAAATCGTCTCCATAGAGACTCTTTTCTCTGTACTTTTCGGTCGTGTAATCAGCAGTGGTATCAGATTCGCTGGAATACTGTGAGAAGGTGATGAAGCCATTTTCTTCCCGATGGCCTTGACCATGGCTGGAGGCTCCCTGGTCCGGGGTGGGCGGGCTTTCTTTCCTTAGGGAGTTGGAGCGAGTTACCGAGATGTTGTCAAAGTCTTCCAGCAGGCCGTTGATGGAGGTTTCCTTGCAGGGTTTGTTTCCTCTAACGATTGTCTGGAAATAATAAAGGGAATACTGTTTAAAGAAAATATTTCATGCTTTCAAATTGATGGAGGAATTCCACGCCCACTCCATCCAATTTAAACCACAAAGGAAAACAGACCCCAGGAATATTTCATAAAAAATCATAACGAAAAAATTGTTGATTGATTTCAATGGTGAACTAAATCAAATATTAAACAACAATCTCAAATTAAAAATTTTCCTTCTCTATCTCAATAGAGAGATCAATTAAACATCAAAAAGCTAGTGAGAAGACTATATAGGCTAATATTGTCTTATTTACCAGTTTATGGGAAATCCCCCTCCCCGTTCCTCCACATAAATAATAAACTCTAACCATCTAACAGTAAGCTGATGATTATAATTCTACCAGTCTATAACTGTTAGGATATAAAAGGTATATTACGTTTTTACATTCATTACTCAGATGATTTGCAAAACTAGTAAGCATTGTCACTTGAGTATGAACATACCCAGAAATGGGTGCACTTGTTTTTATCATTTTATGGAAGACACATAACAATTTGTTCTCAGATTTTATAGAAGAGGAAGGCACTTTCTGAGGTGTAAATAGCAAACAGCACGAAGATTACTTGTGGGATTTAATTCGTGAGCAAATGTGATGTTCTTATTAAGCATATAACTGTAATGTTTGCTATGGCCACACTTCTATCATCAGCACTGAATTTTGGATGGCTTAGTATTGAGGTGCTTGTACCTGAACCTTGGTGACAAATTGCCAAGCCCAAATGTTCCCTTTAATGAACCTAAATAACATCGGAATAACAGGAACAGAAAGAAATCACAAACTACTTACAAAGCCAGTCAGCTGCACCTTGACAATGACAAAGTTTGCAGTGAAATATGACGGGGGTGGATCAAAGAACAAAGAACAAAGCATTATGACTTCAGACTTCCAGGATTTTAAGAGAAAAATACCTTTGAGCAAGCAGCAAGGAGTTCAAACCATCTCAGTCAGTACAATAGAAGATTTCGAACTGGAAGAAAAAGTCTAAGTTGTCCTGGAGCATATGTTTTTACAGATCGGTGCTTCTCAAACTATTCATGGTGAAAAACAAGGTTTTAGTTTTTTCCCTAGTCAGTCCTGGGCTAATGCTTTTGGTCTATACCCTTTTCTTTTAAAGAACGTTTTAAGTTTGGAATAGTCTTAGATTAATGGAGAAGTTGCAGAGTGGAGGTAGCGTTTGCCAGGTTTCCACGCTGTACAATATTAGCGGGAATTCATAGTCCCCCAAAAAGTAGATTTCTGGTATTTTTAATTGCGTGCATCTGTGTTGACTGATGTGCCATGTGAATAATGACTGTAAGATGTGCCAAGGTCTTCAAGTACCTTCTGAATTATTGGACCTACCTGGATAATCCTTTAGCAAAAATACTATCCAGACTTGACAAATAATAGTTAACTATGTTAGAATTTTTCGTATTCAATGCTATCTTTAGCATTCTTTAACTTCAATTAATCTTTCCTATCTCCATCCTTCTCATCTCTGAATACACAAAATATTCAGCTCTAGAATCAGAGGATCATTTCCAATCTCTTAATGTCAGAAGGAATCTAAAGATGAGCTAGGTCACCTCCTGCCTTTACTGAGTAAAAACTGAAACTTAGAGTTGACTTTGCCACGTGGTATGTAACAGATGTGGGATTCAAAGCAACTCCTCTTTCTCCCAGTCTGGCTCGCTTTCCAAGGTACTTTTCAGACTCTTTTGGAGCTAAAGAAAATAGCACCAGTTGACAATGCAAAGGCTTGGTGTGTGACATCACAGTCCACCAAAAACGGGTCTTTAAGTGCATATTTCTATTGCACATTCCACCCCCTGGCAATGAGCCACTGAATTTACAGAATATGGATAATTCTAGCTTCTGGTCTCAATTTTAGCCACACTTGCTATGTGATTTAGTTTCATTCTTCTTTCATTATCTGTTCTCTGATTTGTAAATAGGATAATATCACTTGATATTTGCCCCTTTCCTCCCCCCATCCAGGAACTATAGAGGCTGATGGGGAAGAGATTACAAAACAATTTTAAAACATACTAATGCCCTCATGAAGACACCACTTTCAGGTGGACACAAACGCATAAATATGAAATAGATTAAGAATATTGAAATACAACTCATCAATGAAGGACAAGTTAAAACATGAAGATTATAAAGAAAAGATCAGAGAAGAACAAACCAAAAATCTTGGAAAGTTTTCAGGAAGAGGAGAATTATGAGCTAGTCCAGGAGGCAACAACAGATGTAATTGGATAAAGGAAAAAAGAGGTTAATTACCAGCTCATCACTTACTGAATGACTGAGGCACAGAGATGGTCAGAATGTGTCAAGATGCCACATCTTTGGGGCTATGAGGGTAATTGTGATTACAGAAGAAAAGTTTCCCTGTGCATATCAAATTAGCATCTCAATAACTTGTCCTCTGGAATTTATATCCAGAAAACTGGTTAGTTCATCTTCAGCAAATTAACAAGTGGTTATGATGGGGCTGGACTCTGGGTCTTAGAACTTCACCACCAGGACACAGATATTTAGAAGGAAAAAAATATTCTTCCCTGATGATTCCTTTGAGAGCAGAGCATTATTGAATATTTCATTTAAAACTGCTGAGTCCTTTAAATCTATTTTCCCCCACTAAAAGCTTTCCAGTTTCATTAGTGAGTTCAATGGGCAAATTTGAAACTAACTCATTTTGTTTCTGGGGAATATTTACAGAAAGAAATTTAGATACTAAAAAGAGGCATCCATCTATCCATCCATCCATCCACCCCCCACTCATCCATCCAATAACATCTATAGATAGATATAACAGATATCTGTAATATCTATATGTCTATATCCATACTGTCCGTAAATATTTTTTAAATGACTACGTGATAACACAATGAAGGTCTGTTTGGGAGAGTCTTTTCTCTCAATAACTGTGCTATGAATGTCTTACATTTTGAAAATTAAAAATCAAACAATCCTAAGCAACTATTTCACAATTATTTTTGTTGCCCAACTGTGTTCATTCCGATTTCTGTGGGAGATTAAAGGGTCGCTGTCTCAGCATATGAATCAATCTGCGGCATCAGAACTGGGGAGTATGCTGTTCCTGTGCACTTGTCCTTGCATCTCCAGAGAAGTATGCTCAGTTTACATGCAAAATTATAGCAGCAAAAACAAATAGAATTCTGTACATTTGTTAATGTGGACAGAGAAATATTAATATTGCTATGAGCTAATGCTATTTAGAAGAAAAAATGAGAAACACTTTTGAAAAACAATCTAGTATTTACGATCCTTGTTTTGGATCTTAGGCTCACAGCACTTCTCAGCTGTGGGATATTAGGCAAGTTACTTATCCTTTTAAAGCTACAGATTTTTAAAAAATTTTGTTGAGGTCAGAATAGTTTGTAACTGTGAAATCTCAGTTGTACGTTATTATTTGTTAGTCACCATGTAAATCTGCCCCTTTACCCTTTATGCCCACCCCCCAGCTCCCTTCCCCTCTGGTAACCACTAATCTGTTCTCTTGGTCCGTGTGTTAGTTTATCTTCCACATATGAATGAAATCATAGGGTGTTTGTCTTTCTTTGTCTGGCTTATTTCGCTTAACATAATACCCTCAAGGTCCACCCATGTTGTTATGAAGGGGACGATTTTGTCTTTTTTATGGCTGACTAGTATTCCATTGTATATATATACACCACATCTTCTTTATCCCTTCATCCGTAGAAGGGGACGTGGGTTGCTTCTACTCTTACGAGCCACAGTTTCTTAATCCATAAAATGGCAAGAATAAATCCTTGCCTCATGGGGTAACGTGATGATTTAATGAAATAATGTGTAAAACAGCTGGCAGGATTCCTGGCATACAGTAAGTACCAATAAATAGCAGTCATTTAATTACTTCACGGGTAAAATTTACTTTTAAATTAGGTTAATAGAAGCTGGCCCAGTGATGGAGTAGTTAAGTTCGCACACTCTGCTTCAGCAGCCAGGGGTTCTCAGAGTTGGATCCTGGGAGCAGACCTAGCACCACTTGTCAAGCTATGCTGTGGTGGCGTCCTACATACAAAATAGAGGAGGATTGGCATGGATGTTAGCTCAGTGACAATCTTCCTCAAGCAGAAAGAGGAAGAGGGACAACAGATATGAGCTCAGGGCCAGTCTTCCCCCCAAAAAAACCACCATAGGTTAATAATTTAGGGAAGAAAGGAAGCTGCAAACAATAGGTAGAAGAAATAAATCTCGGCTTTATATGATGAAAGAAAAATGATAATTGATGCAGTAGATTTTTACAAACTACTATTAGTAACTTTAGATATAAAACACAGATTTCTTGAGTTTAAACAGATGTATCTCAAATTAATTACAATGTTATATACACTAAATAGATACTGATAGATACTCCTTATTAGATCTAAAAAAGTGAAATACTTTCAAATCATAATCAGCACCCTATTGGTATCTTTCTTAAAAATGTCATGTCTAAGGTGCAAAAATTAACAAAATTAGACTTTCAATGTTCAAACTGAAAGATAAGTATGGAAAAGAAAAGGTTACGGAAATAAGGTAAAATACTGACAGTGGTCATCTCTGGCTGGTGAGAGATCAAGGGTGACTGGTATTTTAGACTGGTGCTTCTCAAAACCTTTCTGTGCACACAGATCACCTGAGGATCCCATTAAAGGGAGATTCTGACTCAATAGTCTGAGGAGGGGACTGTGATTCTGGATCTTGAACGAGCTCCCCAGCAATGATGCTGCCGGTTTGCTGTTCACACTGTGTACTCAACGGGGTTAGTGTATTTTCCAAGTTTTCTACAATCAGGGCTACTTCTATAATGAAAACGTTAGATTGAGATAACTTCCAGTATAATAGGATTCAGGATTTTATTTATATAGTATTCAACATACAATATACATTTTATTAACTAGATATAGAATAGTGTTAAATATACTTATATATTGTTTTATATGTA